CATATGTTTATTGATTGTACATGGAGTATTTTTATGTTGCATGCATACTTATGTTATTGGAACATGTAATTGATGTATCATGAATAAATATGTTCTTAAGGATTTCATGGTATACATGTTGAGATTATGCTCATGGCATTATATTTCATTTAAAATATATAAACACATCATTATTATAAAGATGATTTTATATTCATGATCTTGATGAAAGGAAAAGGAAATGGTTTTTATGAATGAAAGGAAAAGGTTTTCTTGATTTTTATGATAAAGCCATTTCTTAATCGAGGGATAAGGTAAAGGTCTCGATAGTTGGGGGATCGGATAAAGGCCCCAATCGAAGAAAATGATAAAGGTATTTCTTCTTCGAGGGATAAGGTAAAGGTCTCGAGCAGTTATGGGATCGGGTAAATGCCCCAATTGAAGAAATGATAAAGGAAAGGATGCATCCAAAAAGGAAAAATGAATTTCAAATGCATGACAAGGATTTTATGAAAGTCACGTCATGTGTATTTATGCATTGTTAGGTTATACTTATTGAGCATTGTCTTGCTCACTATTACTTTCTTTCTTATGGTGTAGAAGACATAAAGATAAATAAAGAGTCATCACCAAGACAAGTGAAAGACTTGCCCTTTTGTGTGCTTAGGGCTAGTGAGTATGGGAATCTTACTTAGCTTAACTTGATTTTTGATGTATGTATAGCAAGTTAGGCAATTTTGACATGTATCTATAATTAATCAAATATTATTTTGGTATAAATGGAAATGTTATTTGAATGTTAAGCCATTGTTATGCCAAACTTGGTAGTCATAGAACTTAATAACTTAAAATGACTAATATGGCTAATATGATATCATTGATAGGATTATGGAAATAGTTGTAATTTAGAATAAATAGTAAGGAATTAGGAAGGGATATTAAAGTCAAGACTAAAAGAAAATATAACGGCTTAATTATTAGAAAAGATTTAAATGGAGTTAGTAGAGGCTTAATTAAATCTTAAAAAAAAAATATACCTAAGTCATAAACAAATGGATCTAGTATCCTACACTCAATAGGGGCCTAATGTAGGAATTGTCCACTTTTGCTAATGAACTAGAAATAATAGGTAACGAGGCTTATTGGCTTGCATTCATTGTACTTTGAATATAAGTTAATGCCGATAATATCCACGACCTATCTAAATCGTAGGTCAAAGGTGTTACACGTCGTGTGTTGTACCCGGAGCAAATGATGTGTCATCTCGTCTTTTATTTTGGTTTTTTCATACAGTTTTCCTTTCGCAAGCTTGGATGCGGACCTAAGCACTCGGGCTTGGTACTAAGTCGAAGCTCGGGCTTGGAACTAGCCCTAAGCGCATGGGGCTATGCTTTAACTATTTTTTTATAATTTATTTTAATATTTTTATTGAGATTGTTTATGCAAAAAATATAAAATTTCAAACCTTATTTTTAATGTTTCCCATGCAGCCTTGCGAGGATGAAATATTTATGATATTTTTTTATATACTTTAAAATAAATATATATTTCATATTATATTACTCTTATTATTTAAAATTTATTTCTTCAATTTCTCATTTTATGAAAATTCGCACTCGATGAAATTTTTATTTTTATTTATTATTAAAAAATTTATCGATAAATCTAATTTATTTTCTCTACATTTAGATTTTAAAATATTTTTTTAGAACATGATTGCTTTTTTTTTTTTTTAATATATCTTTTATGTCATGAACTTTTAGAAATTTAAAATGATGGTTGCATGGTTATCAATATATGTTTAATGTAAAGATTAAGAGTGTATCTTAGATAATTTATTTCTAAATAATTTTAATATTTTTCAATTTTTACTTTGCACTCTTAACTCACTAATTATAGTCATGATATATATGAAAAAAAATTAAATCATCGATTTTATCAAAAATCAACTGTGAATGTATACATATAACACCGACCATTTGCTCGTTAGTGTTTTTTTTTTTTTTTGAATATCATAAAACTAATTTCTTTGAAATAAAATAATTAAAATAATATCTTAAAAGAACCACCAAATGATTCAAATCAAATTTTTTATACTAAAATTATTGATTATTTTGTGAATAAATATATATAAATCAAATGTATATACTTTCAAAAAATAATAACCTCATCATCATTAAATAAAATTAAAAACATTTTTTGATAAAATCTTATGAAAAATATATTTTGATGGCGCATTTTTTGAATTTTGGATAAAATTTGTAATTTACGTTATTACAATCTTTTATTCAAGAATCATTGCATAAAGAAAAACAAATCATGCTTTTTTTTTTTATTTGATAAAATGACGACAAACATAAAGATTATGAAAATTTTAATTATGGATAAAATTAATTATGCATTGCATCAAAAGGATTATAACATTGATAATTTTAGAACATTGTTTTTGACGAGCGAAGAGATCTATTGATAAAAAAAATTAGATTCGTGCAATTTGCATTGCACAATATCGATCGATAAAATAAAATCAATTGGTACTGATGAATTTGTCAATTGATCAATTAATTTATTTATAAATGTCATCTTATTTTATAACATCGTTTATTAATACCGTCACCCTACATCCATCTAACCTTGTCATGCCCGCAACAAAGTGCGGGTCACAAACTAGTTGTAACTAAAAAGGCATGTTTTTTTTTTTTAACCTTTTTGGATTTAGATTTTGGAATTAACATTTTAAAAAAAATTATTAAGTTTCATTTAATATAATAGGTTGATGTGGGATGTGTATTTTCTGGTTAAAATTTAGTTTCAATTGAAGCATTATACTTTTATCGGGGAATAAAGGAAAAGTATTCTGTAGTTTTGTACAAGTCTGACAACAAGATATTTAATATTTTTGTTCTTTCAAAATATCTAATAGGTTTTGAACTATATAATAAATTAACAAGCGTATAAACAGGCTATATAGGAGCTCATAATTACTATTATAATAATTAAAAACAAAAATAAAAACCTCAAAATGTTGGGGCAAATTTAAAATTGGAAACATTAATGACGCTCACTAGAACGACCTATCGGTGACATCTAAATCTACAATCTCGGCCATTAAACGATAGGCCCATGTCCAACAATCTTTGACAAGGGCCATGAGGCTGCAACCCAGATGATCTCGTGACTAACAGAGGTAGCGTCGTGGTTATAACGTGTATAGTGATTGCAGTGAATGATGCTTATAAAACTTATCTAATGGACACTTCAAAAATTTCAACTCTGGTATCTGCCGTTATTTATAATTACCTGATATTATCATACCAGACTGCATTAAGAGTTAATCATCGATCTCATCAAAAGCATATAGCATTCAAGGGGTGTGTTGACTAATGAAGGAAGTTAATTTATTTTCTATTTTAACTTTTTGAGTTCAAATTTTAAAATTAGTGGTAAAAATTTTAGTTTCTAAATGTTTTAAGCCAACATAGTTATCCGTATATTAATAGCTTATATAGTAGCGAATTTTTGGATAAAATCTCTTATTTGATATCTAAAGTCAATCTAAATTGTACAATATAATAATACAAGAATAACCATAAAAAATCTAATGGGCAAATCTAAAAAATACTCCACGGCTATATAGGTTTTTAAATCAACCTATTTGAGCCGATTTGAGTTTGACAACTATGATGTTAATATTGATGCATGTATATATTATATTTAATAAAAAAATTGTAAATATTTTACATATACAGGTATATAATAATTACAAAGAAATTTTTTTAAAAAATGAGGATTTTAAACAGTGATTTTTACTGTTCATCCTCCTGCAGTTCAACAATCCAGGTGAAAACGATACCTTCAAATTCAAGTTAAATTGCCGTCTTTCGGACTGCCATCAATAGCCCAGTCCAAGAAACCATGAAAGGAGAAAATAACATAAAAGTAAGACGAGCTCCACAGCAGATGCATCATGCTGGGTTGCCAAGTTTCTAGATCAAACCATCGAGCCAATTGGACTTGACAACTATAACGTTAACATTATATATTTTGGATTGTGATCTGATCGAATTTGAGTATCCATGTATTTTCATTATCTAGCAACAATAAATAACAATTTTGAATATTTATATTCAATCCAGAATAATAATTTTCCGTATAAAATGATGCCATCAAGTTCGGATCAAATTGACATCACTAAAACCACCATCAATAACCCAGCCCAAGAAAGCAGGACAGAAATAAAAAAAACACTGAAGTGGGAACAGGTACATCATGAACGTGCACCGAACAGACAGGCAGTTGCGTGCGAGAAGGGAACAATACATATAAAGTCAAACAGGAAGTCCCTAGCTGCTGTTCGCTTGGTCTGTGTTAACTGGTTCTTAGATTTGTGCCATTTTCAGTTTCTTGTCTTGGTTTAGCTAGGAGCTTTCCTAGAGTAAGGCTTTGAGTGTTTATGATCATATATCGAACCTCCCTTCTACAAAATTTAAACCAGTAGGATTCTTTTGTACTCTGTTGTTATCTTGCAGAGGTCAAAACAAGAAATATGACATAGCAACTCCTCATCTGTCTTGTTGCCGTTAGGTCAAGATAATTGAAGGTCAATCAATACCAGGTCTAGACCAGTAAACAGAAGTAAGCATAACCACAAGTAATTATAAAGAGAATCAACCATTCTTTACTGAAATAAACAAAGAAGAGTTTTCAGTTCAACTCTTCAAACGACTTAACAAAACATATCAGGCCTAAGGAAACGTTCTCTTTATGAATTAAATATCTACCAGAAACGAATAACATTCATAATCATAAATAACACATATAAATATCTATATATATCACTTTAAACGAAATACCAAAGCTGGAAATGCGATGCAGGTTGAATTTGTAACCACCACACCTGAAACACGTCTCTTGGAGATGGAAAACTAATGAATGAATGCATTAAAAGAAACAAATGTGAAGCACCAGAAGTTGATAGGATGATTAACAAGCAGTTTAACCATCTTTTTCTTCCCAACCTATTAATTTGGCTTTGAGGTAGTATTGCCATTTTGTTGAGGCTGTGGCTGGGAGGACTGCTGCTGCTGCTGTTGTAACTGATGCATGTTGATTTGGGAGCCTGATGGTTGCTGCTGCTGCTGCAATTGATGAATGTTAAGTTGAGAAGGTCGTGGCTGCTGCAGGAACATCTGAGGATTGATGGAAAGCTGCTGCTGAACCATGCCCTTTGAAGGGTCAGATTCCCCACCCCGCTCTGCTCTAGCAATCTTCAACCGTCGGACCTCAGCAGTTAATGCTTCGTTTAGAGCTGTTGCAGTTCAACACGATTAATGATAAATCTACCAAACATACTAAATGTTGAAGAAAAAGTAAATGACGAGTCCCATATCTTTTCCATCGACCAACACACAAGGGGAAAACATAAACAAGAATCAACAAACTCTAAATATATAATATTTGTATTACTCATGGCCATGCAATTGTTGCAGCACGTTATGCTCGATAGTAGAAGCGCGAGACTACTTGTGAGAATGGGAGTCAGATCACCAATCAATAGTTAAAACTTTCAAAGCAATTGATTGTTCAACTAACTATATGGACACAAGTTAATTGGCAATATATTCATGGCACATCATCATGTAAAACAAGACAGCTTGCTGCCATGAATAAATGTAACATACCATAAGGCCTCAGTCTGAACATGTAAGTTCTTCAAGCAACAAAGAATGAGAATTAACTTCCAATTAAAAAGAAAAATACTACATTCCTGCATGTATAGCATAAAAGAAAGACGCACAGAACAACTGCAATGGGAAATATCATATTTTTCTCCCCCTACAGAAATACTCATCTACATAAAGCAGAGCAGGTGACTGCTGATATGCACACATGCATCTGTGTCTGCATGGGGCGTGACTCTGCACACCTATCAGCACAAACTAAGCATAGCAAATTCACACAACAGGTACTGACCCTATTTCTGTACCAGCAAACCCTATAAATGCAATGAGAAAAACTGAAAAAAACAGGGTGCAGGTATCCATACCATCTCGGAGTTGTGCTTGTTGCTCCATGGCTTGGAGGCGAAACTTCAACTCATTATTCTGGTTTGTAAGACCAACAGAATCTCTCTGGTTTGTGTAGAAGACAATAACCAAAGAACTTAGAAAACAGACGATTACAAATACATGGAAACAAGTTTCAATATCCCAAATCGCTACCTGTAAAAGAGTAAGCTGAGCAGACAAAGTGGTAGCTTCTGTCTGCAAAGTCTGAACCTTGGGTTCCAATTCTGAAATATATCTCATCTTCCTCTCCTTGGAACGAGCAGCTGATTGACGATTCGCGAAGATCCTGAAATTGACCAACAATCGAAGAAAATGAAACACTGAGGTAAGGCTTCTAACATGAATTATCTAACTATATAGTGATCAAATGGGATAAAAGGGTACCTCTTTGCATGTTTAGGGTCACTTAAAGCAATCTCAGCAAGTTTCTCATTTGCCATAATTTTCTTCAGTTCAGCACCACTAAATTCACCATTCCCAAACTCCAAGCTAAAGGCATTCCCATCTACTGAATTGGTGGGTGATAGTTGTCCTGGACGAGTTCCTGGCGAAGGTGGCAGCTTTGGAGACTCGTCACCGAAGTTCAATTTGCCCATTAAACTATCCATTGACACGCTTCTGTAGTGTCTGGAGGTAGGAGCAATATCATCCCCAGCACTCCTTTTCATCCCCTCTCTCTTCTCTGTGGAAGAACTCAATCCTCCTCTTCGCAGGCTACCACCACTTTCATTCACACTGCTTTCTGCCTCATTATCACTGCTATCACCACCATTCGTCTTAGTTCCACTACCTCTGCTACCCAAATCCTCACGATTCTCATTACCATTCTTCTCATCAGTTCCCGAGTGCTTTAAAGCATCAATGTTATCCAAATTCATGTAAGCAGAAAACAAATCGTCCACAACTTCCCCTTCAGATTTCCTCTCACCCATCCCCTCCGCATTGCTTTCACCACCTCTCTCCCATTCCCTTTTCACCAATTGAGCTGGCCTAGCCACCCCTAAATTCTCTCTGCCAGACGTTGACCGCTCCAAGCCACCTGAACCCCTCAACGGAACAAGGGGCGGCAAACATTGCAACACAGTAGTAAGTCCAAATGCAATATCACTGTTAGACCTTCTATGTGCTTACCGTGGAGGCAAACTCTCACCAGCCCTTGGAGTACTGCCCCTATTAAACGGCGAAGCTGGCAACAACGAATGAGAGCTACCATCCTTATCCTCCATGGACACATCATTTGAAATAGGGTCTGAAACCGATGTCAAAGAGGAGTCACAAAAAGGGGCTGGACTCAACTTGCGCAATTTAAACCCTAAGATATTGGAGATTGAGTTATGTATAACGATCAGCTGGATTGACCATTACATAAAATGTCCCGCTGTTAATTATGTTTTTGCATTTTAAAATTATTTTTAATCCCCTAATCTTGAATTTTTTTTTTTGAATTTTTAAAATTTTTTTTTTCCTTATAAAATATTTTGCTCAGTCTAGTTTACTGATGACAATTAAGTGGCAAGCCTTGGCCATTCTCTGCTCGGTCATAAGCGTCTGATTTATGCTTTGGTGACAAAGCAAAGCCATCTGGAAGTTTGCCAAGCAACATTTCAGAGATACGAATGTGAAAATTGGAGCAAGTTAACAAATCTTACAGTGGCACTAATCGTTAAGATATGTTTAGAGAACTGCAAACATACCCAGTCAGCAGCAGAATTAGAAGCCATGAGTGCTTCAAGGTCATCACGACCACAGTATGAGGGTGGACGCCAGTAGAGCCGCTGTGGGATGACATCTAAAAGACCTACAGTTACATATCTGCATGAATAGCTGAGCCCTTCCAACAAGAAATGCCTAGTCCTCTCCACACGAAACCTTTTTTCCCAATCACCCATTCAGTACAAAATTGCTTGTTTGGCCAATACCATATAACTTTTGTGTCAGAGCCCCAATGTTCAAGCCCACAACGTGCATAATCCTTTAGAATGTTCAATCACTCTCCAGATCTTATGTCCCAGTGCCTCTGTTCCTTAATTTCAGTAAATATCCAAGGCTCCAAAATATAGCGCATATTATTCTTAAGACTGCAAAGCTAATTTTGGGGAAACACAAATATGGTCTAGTAACAACTACATAAAAAATGTTGAAATCAACAAGTCATAGCTCCAGCGTCCTAACCTTAATTAGCGCACCTCTAGCTATCATGCATGAAGAAAGCTCGGGGCAGTCAAACTTGTGCTTGTCCAATCAACATATGAAAAGACATCGCCATTTCCTAGAACTTGCCAAGAATCTGAGGCCTTTTTAACACATCGGAATATGTAGTCCCAAGCAGCACGCTTGCTATAACTTTGCTGACGTGACCGGCCATGAATTGTTATACCACTGGCTCCCCAGTTTCCAATATCTGCAATTAATGAGTCAATGCGATTTTTTCCTTCAAAGTAAGCTGTTCGCACCTATATTGAGAAAATGCAGTATGAACTGTCAAAATTAAGCTTGGTCAGAGAAGCCCGAGAGTAACACAGGCTGCATGCTAGAAAAACAAGCAGAAAACGAAAGTTGGCATTTCCGAATGAGAATCTGAGCTATGAAGTTGCAGAACAACATAGCTGCATCAGCATGGGATTAGCACGAATATTAATTATTACCTTGACTGTTATAGGCTTTTCCACTGTACCAGAAGCAGCTTCTATAATGCTTTTCATCTGCATTGCTTTTGTAAGAAGAGATGACCCAGCGCCCTTGTTGACAACAATATCAATTGGGCAACCCATAACTGTATCTGGATAAGCCCCACATACTTGAACACCAAATAAATCCTCAGACGAATGACGTCTCAGCAGTGCCCATTCTGAAGCTTGACCCTATAATCAACAGCAAATTGGGTTAAGAAATTTTCCAAGTGTCAAATCAAACTAATAGTGTACAGCATAGAGTAAAGAATCACCCAGAACTCGAAGTATTACAGAAAAGAAGCAGCAAAGATAAAACAAACGCAGCATGGAGTTTGAAATTTTCAATTTTAACGTGGACCCAATACTTTCTTTTGTCAGCATGGTAAGTGTTATAACACATACATTATTGGCTATCATGGGCACAGAACTGCAATTGATCCGCACCATAAACATTCCTGACAGTGACAATGGCAAGCTAAAACACTACATTACTTAGGGAAAGCTAAATTAGATATTGAGAGATAGATGCATTAAACATGAGAAGAATGAGAAAACCATACCAGTAAGTTATGAGTAAGTTATGTAAAATGAGTTATCAAAGTAGAAAACAGACCTGCAACAGATTTGTGCACATTACCATTTCACCACAACTTACATCAGCTCCTAACGCTTTACAGACCCTTCGAAAAGGAAGATTTCCAACAGTAGTCAAAGGAGTAAGATACAACTTTCCTCTGAAGTCGATAAGCTTTTTTAAACTTCCATCTGTTTCTACAATCTCAGGCCATACTCAATCCTGTTGCAAAACATATTCAATGTAAGATACATATGGTTCTCAAAGATGCACAAATTTGGAACAAAAGTTTGAGACAACCACCATTGACTTCTTCAACAATGCAACCATTTTCTTCAACAACTGATTTCGCTTTCTTCAGGGGCCTAACTTCTTTAGTTTTATCCTTAGCCATCCACAGCACAATCCAATTTTCCAGCCGAATCATTGCCCCCATCACCACAACCACTCTCATTAGTACCATGAGAGGCATTACCATCATGGACTTTCTAGACATTATCATCATCGACTTTCTTGATTTACTCCTCTTTCTCACTTTCGATTTCACTGATCCCTTGATAACAAATCAACAAAAATCACCTATATTCAAAAAAAGATAATAAATTTAACAACAATAACAACATTGTAGGTGTTTTATTCATTACCATAAGCCCGAGAGACTTGAGTAACGAATCCGCCTTTGGAAACTTCATTTTATTCTTCCATAAAAGCTTTTGGACATCCTTATTCAAGTCTTTAACCTCCGAATTTCGCTTTGTACCATTTCCAACAACATCATTATCCTTATGAGACACTCTCCTTCTTAATCGTCTGGTTTGTACACAATATAAACAGCATCAAAAGCATCAAAGTAAAATTATAATAAAAATGGAAAATGGGTAATTTGATTAATTGATTACCTGAGCCTTGAATGAATCCTTCTAAGTCATGATTGAACCGGCAGTTATTTTCGTACGGACATGAATTAACATCTCCGGTTTTTGCTAATGCCGGGCAGAGATTCACTGCAGACTTCTTTTACTGTAATGAGGCTTTTTTTAAAAAAAAAATAACAAACAAATATCACAAGCAAATAAAAATATAAGACACGGAAAATCAGAAAAGGAGAGACGACCTGTTGGCGTTCACGTTTGAGTTGTCGTTTGGGCTTCTTCTCCTTGGCCACTACACTGATAGTGTTAGTGTTATTGGATTTTGAGTTATTACCATAAGAATCGGAAACGGTGGATCATGTGGTGTCGTTTTGGGAGGTTCGAGAATGTGGGGAACGGAGGAATTGTGGTTTCATTTGGCCACGAGTTGTTCTGGTGTTGCTGTAATTTAGGTTTGTTATAATTTATCCTTTTTCTCTTTTTTTTATGAGTGAAAAACATTTACTAAAATGTAAATGTTCAGAACGGGCAAGAAGTGTATCGGAGGAGTGTTTAAATTAGTTTAATTCATTTGAATATATATATATATATATATTATAAAATTAGTGATCTTAAAAGTTAAAAAACTGGAGGCGTCCGTTTCCTAATAAACTTCAACTACTTTAGAGTCTAGATAACTTAGCTTTGTATGGGCTAGAAGTCTACTGAAGAAGTGTTTGAATTAGTCTAATTCATTCGGATAAAGATTAATATATATATATATATATATATATATAAAATCAGTGATCTTAAAACTAAAAAAACTTCCTTAAGCGTTTGTTTCCTAATAAACTTCAGAATCTAGAAAACTTTGTTATCAAGTAGGACTATTTGATTGACATGATGCTATAAATTTCATATGCATCTTTTTTTTTTTTATCTTATTGAAAGCTGAAGAGACAAAGATGGCCAAATACGCAACAGAAAAGGCAAAAACACTTGCTTTGTTAGTTTTTTTCTTATTTATCGCCTATGTAGGGATACTTAGCATCTATGTTGAGATAGCCCTATTGGCTGTGTCAATTATAAAACCTGGTGCCAGATTTGACTTCGAGTCTGTTGAAACGTATTTGGTTCTTATGGGTTATAATATTATTATTAGTCTTTATCCTTGTTTGCTATTAGCAACTTACCGTTTTAGGATTAGAGAAATCATATCCAAAATACGTGATCGATATGGTATGATTATCTGGCTTGTTTATGGACTAAGTCATGTCATAGCCCTTTTTATGTCTCAAGGACACTTGTGTGTTTGCATCGTATTTGCTAACCTGTCTGTCATGACAATTTCTATTGTTCGGGTGATGGGAAAATTTGAAGATTCTTTGATTGTCACGCACTCTACAATCACTCAAACTATCATTGCCGTCGGTGTGATTCTTCTCTTGCATGAAGGATGTTTTTGGCAAGATGCCATAGCAATCTCAATCTCTCCCATCATAGTTGCTGCTCCAGCGGTTTGTTCTACTTTGCATTGATTAATTAAGCATGTGTGTGCATGATATTGTAAATCTTCAGATTTCACAAGTTTGTCTTTCACATTAAAATATTCTGGACGTGTATGTTTCATTATAGGATTAAATTTTTAGATTTACCTTCTGAAATCATCCGGACATTACCAATAAGATGAACGATACTAATCTTATTGTGGAATTTCTTTTATTTTTAAACACTATTTTGTTTCTTTTAACTTTTCTCTTCCTCTCTCTTTCCTTTATTAAAAGGAGAGTTATTTGTGTTACACATTCTTAGAGTTACTCTTTTTTTCTTTTCTTTTTATTTAACACTAATTTGTTTCTTAACTTCAATAATTTTCAGTTCATTACATGCTCGGGGCTGAACGATTCATCGAAGGAGGATTGCATGTTCTCTTTTTTCCATTCCAATGTGAAGTTGTTGCACTACCACTCGGTTAATAAATTTTAAAAATTCAAAGGAGGTTGTGGAATTTTTTCTCTTTTTTCTTCTGCTTAATTATTGTGACGATAGATTTTATAGGCAATATTAACTCGAATGACTTGTCATTTTTCAATATCAGTTATTTTGATTGCTTCAAAAATATATACATCCTCAAATTAAGCAAAGTTAAAATTCAAATCTTAAAACCAGTACCTGATTTATTCATTTGAATGTCTTATGTCCAAAAAATCGAGCAAGTTAATTCAAGATATTACCTTCGATTGTCAACCCAAAAAATAAATTTACCGTCCTATCCCTCTCGGATCTTACTCTCAATTCTGCCTCTCCCCCAATCAGAGAAGTGAACAAACTGATAGAAAAACTGAGCAAGAGAGTTCTCTCTTTAAGAAGAGAGATTCAACTAGACCTCATGCTTTCTTCATTTACGCTCTTCTTTTGACGAGTTATTGTAATAATAATCGCCAACTCTAAGCAACCTGAATATCAAGTGCTTCGTTTGTATTGTGAACGAGCTGTACTGTTAACAAGGGGTAATGCAAAGTGAGTAAAAATGAGTCTTGGTCGGAATGTTCATGGAGTGGTAAGAAACAAAGCTACGAAAGTACACCATATCATTTTGATAGTTATGTTTTCATTTTTTTAAAAACAATATTTTATTAAATTTTTTAAAAAACTTTTTTTCTTATAAACATTTTATAAATTATATAAAAAAACATTTTATAAATATTTTCAACCTCCTAATTTTTAATCCTTTTCATAAATCATACAAAAAAATATTTTATAAATATTTTTAACCTCCTAACTTTAACCATCCACGAAGTTCAAGAGAAAGTCCCAAGTTGTTTGTTGTGTCTGGGTTCTCTGGCTCAAAGATTTTGTGCCATTTCCAGTTTTTTGTCTTGGTTTTGTTCGGAGCTTAGCTGGAGTATTTATGATCATATATCGAACCTCCCTTATACAAAATTTAAACCAGTAGGTTCCTTTTGTACTCTGTTGTTCTCTTGCTGAGGTCAAAACAAGAAATATGACATAGAACCTCCTCATCCGTCTTGTTACTGTTAGGTCAAGATAATTGAAGGTCAATCAATACCAGGCCTAAACCAGTAAACAGAAGTAAGCAAAACCACAAGTAATTATAAAGAGAATCAACCATTCTTTACTGAAATAAACAAAGAAGAGTATTCAGTTCAACTCTTCAAACGACTTAACAAAACATATCAGGCTTAAGGAAACGTTCTCTTTATGAATTAAATATCTACCAGAAACGAATAACATTCACAATCATAAATAACACATAAATATCTATATATCTCAAGGAATGTATATATATATCACTTTAAACGAAATACCAAGCTGGAAATGCGATCCAGGTTGAATTTGTAACCACCACAACTGAAACACGTCTCTTGGAGATGGAAAACTAATGAATGAATGCATTAAAAGAAACAAATGTGAAGCACCAGAAGTTGATAAGATGATTAATAAGCAGTTTAACCATCTTTTTCTTCCCAACCTACTAATTTGAATCTGGCTTTGAGGTAGTATTGCCATTTTGTTGAGGCTGTGGCTGGGAGGACTGCTGCTGCTGTTGTAACTGATGCATGTTGATTTGGGAGCCTGATGGTTGCTGCTGCTGCTGCTGCTGCAATTGATGAATGTTAAGTTGAGAAGGTCGTGGCTGCTGCAGGAACATCTGAGGATTGATGGAAAGCTGCTGCTGAACCATGCCCTTTGAAGGGTCAGATTCCCCACCCCGCTCTGCTCTAGCAATCTTCAACCGTCGGACCTCAGCAGTTAATGCTTCGTTTAGAGCTGTTGCAGTTCAACACGATTAATGATAAATCTACCAAACATGCTTAATGTTCAAGAAAAAGTAAATGACAAGTCCCATATCAATTCCATCGACCAAAAAACAAGGGAAAAACATAAACAAGAATCAACAAGCTCTAAATATATAATATTTGTATTACTCATGGCCATGCAATTGTTGCAGCACGTTATGCTCGATAGTAGAAGCGCGAGACTACTTGTGAGAATGGGAGTCAGATCACCAACCAATAGTTAAAACTTCCAAAGCAATTGATTGTTCACCTAACTATATCGACACAAGTTAATTGGCGAAATATTCATGGCACATCATCATGTAAAACAAGACAGCTTGCTGCCATGAATAAATGTAACATACCATAAGGCCTCAGTCTGAACATGTAAGTTCTTCAAGCAACAAAGAATGAGAATTAACTTCCAATTAAAAAAAAACTACATTCCTGCATGTATAGCATAAAAGAAAGACGCACAGAACAACTGCAATGGGAAATATCATATTTTTCTTCCCGTGCAGAAATACTCATCTACATAAAGCACAGCAGGTGACTGCTGATATGTACACATGCATCTGTGTCTGCATGTGGGAGTGCCTCTGCACACCAGTGCATGCTTTCAGCACAAACTAAGCATAGCAAATTCACACAACAGGTACTGACCCTATTTCTGTACCAGCAAAACCTATAAATGCAATGAGAAAAACTGAAAAAAACAGGGTGCAAGTATCCATACCATCTCGGAGTTGTGCTTGTTGCTCCATGGCTTGGAGGCGAAACTTCAACTCATTATTCTGGTTTGTAAGACCAACAGAATCTCTCTGGTTTGTGTAGAAGACAATAACCAAAGAATTTAGAAAACAGACAATTACAAATACATGGAAACAAGTTTCAATATCCCAAATCGCTACCTGTAAAAGAGTAAGCTGAGCAGACAATGTGGTAGCTTCCGTCTGCAAAGTCTGAACCTTGTGTTCCAATTCTGAAATATATCTCATCTTCCTCTCCTTGGAACGAGCAGCTGATTGGCGATTCGCCAAGATCCTGAAATTGACCAACAAATGAAGAAAATGAAACATTGAGGTAAGGCTTCTAACATGAATTATCTAATTATACAGTGATCAAATGGGATAACAGGATACCTCTTTGCACGTTTAGGGTCACTTAAAGCAATCTCAGCAAGTTTCTCATTTGCCATAATTTTCTTCAGTTCAGCGCCACTAAATTCACCATTCCCAAACTCCAAGCTAAAAGCATTCCCATCTACTGAATTGGTGGGTGATAGTTGTCCTGGACGAGTTCCTGGCGAAGGTGGCAGTTTTGGAGACTCGTCACCGAAGTTCAATTTGCCCATGAAACTATCCATTGACACACTTCTGTAGTGTCTGGAGGTAGGAGCTATATCACCCCCAGCACTCCTTTTCATCCCCTCTCTCTTCTCTGTGGAAGAACTTAATCCTCCTCTTGGCAGGCTACCACCACTTTCATTCACACTGCTTTCTGCCTCATTATCACTGCTATCACCACCATTCGTCTTAGTTCCACTAGCTCTACTATCCAAATCCTCACGATTCTCATTGCCATTCTTCTCATCAGTCCCCGAGGAGTTCAAAGCATCAATGTTATCCAAATTCATGTAAGCAGAAAACAAATCGTCCACAACTTCCCCTTCAGATTTCCTCTCACCCATCCCCTCCGCATTGCTTTCACCACCTCTCTCCCATTCCCTTTTCACCAATTGAGCAGGCCTAGCCACCCCTAAATTCTCTCTGCCAGACATTGACCGCTCCAAGCCACCTGAACCCCTCAACGGATTAAGGGACGGCGAAGATTGCAACACATTAGTAAGTCCAAATGGAATATCACTGTTAGACCTTCTATGTGCTTTCCGTGGAGGCAAAGTCTCACCAGCCCTTGGAGCACCGCCCCTGTTAAACGGCGAAGGTGGCAACAAGGAATGAGAGCTACCATCCTTATCCTCCATGGCCACATCATTTGAAATAGGGTCTGAAACCGACGTCGAAGAGGAGTCACGAAAAGGGGCTGGACTCAATGGTGGCAAGGAATCAAGGCAGAAAAAAGATGATGGCTGCGATAAAGATCGTGAATGAGTAGGTCCCGGAATAAAATTCTGCGAACCCATTTGCTGGTTCGCTGGCCTAGACTGCGGGATCTGGGAATAAGGTGAAATGGGTGGGATCTGATTAGGATGAGAAGGCGGAATCCCTACTCTTTTGTTACTATCACCATTAAAATTCTGAGCTAAATTCGCAAAATGCCTCACCCGCATTTGGGTTTGGTTCAAATTCAATTGAGATACATCTAACTGATTTATTAAAGAAAAAGGTTGTTTAGACGTTGTAGAAGATGATGATTGTGTTGTTCCAAAAGAAGATTGCAACCTTTGCATCATTTCACTATTGGCTTCCTCAGTATCACCCATTTCTCTTACCTCTAAAGCAGCAAAAACCAGTAATCAATATTTCACTAATGCCACTTCAAAAACCTTAATCCTTGATCAGACTTAACCCCCAATTTCAAGATTAACCCACTTCAGTTCTCACCAAAACTCAATCAAATAAAACACAAAATCAAACAAACAAACCTTTAAAAATCTGCAAAATGAACAGCCAAAAACAAGAATAAAAACCTACAACACAAAAAAATAATAATAAAGGGATACTGAAATAAAAGAAATGAAAGTGAACACAGAATTCTTACTTAAATAAGTAAGACTACACTACCTTGTTAACTCAAAACGTTCATTTCCACCAAAATACACCAACCGGCGAGACTGCCAAAAAGATAAATAAATAGATAAAAACTATCACGGATTTTCTTTACTCCGCTTTGTTATTCAAGGCGGAAATGGCAAAGAAAATAAGCAAAGCAGAGGGCTTTGTGCCTCTCTCTCTCCAGAATTTGTTCCCACTATCAAAGAGAAAAATGAAAAGGAAGTGCGTGATTTCAGTGAAGTTTTTTTATTTTTATTATTATTGTTTTTTTATTGTGTTTTTTTTTTTTTTTAATGACGAAGACTACGACACGGATTTTATGACGGTAGAGAGAGACGCGTGAAGTTAATAAGAATTTTTGGTTCATTTGAATTTGGTGTGAATTTGAATTTCATTCCGACCTCATTTTTGAGATCTTTGTTCCCTTTGTCACCGCAGCTTATTATGCAATGAATTTCGATCCGTTGGATTTATTTGCCCATTTTGGGATTTCATCCTTCCACGCGCTTCCCTTCCAGTCCCCTGCACGGTAGGTTCCAGTTTTTTTCTTCTTTTTTTTTTTTCGCCTTTTCTGTTCTAGTTCAGATTGGATTTTTTTCACTATACCAGTAGTGGTATTCTTTCGTTATTTTTTTTATTTTGTATTTATTTATCAAAAAAAAATAATGAGTATCTCGTACATTGAATGAGAGGATTTATTTTAGTAATTTTCATAAATTCAATAATTAATATTTTTCTATAAGTGAATGATATAAGTTAATTATGCATATTATTCGTATATAAACTAAAATATTCAAAGGATATGATGGCATAAAAGCTTAGGGAGTAAATCTATTAGTACTCACACATACTTTCAACGATAAAAATACAAAAATAATAATACATGTTTGATTATCGATGAACACTATATCTTTTATAATGATTTTTTTAATTATTATTTTCAACTTATGGTTTTAATTTTTATTGTTAAAATTGTCTAGATAATAAGAGTCACAAAAATAAATTTATTTATCATTGATTTATTGATGAATTTCATTATATATTTATAAGAGTCACAAAAAATTATTCTCAATCACGATAATTAATTCTTTATGCTTATTCAATTGTAGCACGTGACTAATTTATTTTTTATCATTATCAACACTTACAATTTTCAATTTTCATTTTCTAATCTTGTCAAACTTTTTTTTATTATGTTGTACTATTACATATTTCGTTAATAAGTCTGTTAATTTATTTTTTTGGTATGTTATTGACAATTATTCAAACTAATTTTTCTTCACAAACTCGTTAATTCTTTAATCAGTTTTAAGATCTTATCATAAATATATTCACAACATGTTAAAAAAGTCTAGAAATTATAATGGGCTTAAAGGAAAAAAATAATGTTTCCTTTTTTTTTTTTTTGGTATTGCGTGTTATGTTGCACGGCCACTGGAAGAGAGTGGGTCTGGTGAGCCGAAAGCATTGATATACATGGCAGTCGTGGATTTTATTTCTTCCATATCATGTCTGGCTTTGCACCCACACGGTTCAATCATGGAATTTAATTTCTTTCTGTTTTACGGTGCATCCATACCATATGCACTTACATTCATTAGTCCACCGATTTGTAACGTTGCTACTGTGATTTTTTTCCAAAACTCGATGCGTATCGTTTTTATCCCAAAGATTTATCTTCCATAATATCCTTTTTAATTGATTCGCCTATTAAATTATTCCCTTTTCTTAAATGTTCACTCTACCTGATTTTCCCTGAGATTTAAGATCACGTATTAAATGGTAATTTTTCTTTTTAGTGTACTGTATAATTGATTTCAGTGCAGTTTTAATTTTTTTAATCGAGATTTTTTATTATTTTTTAGTTTAATTAAAATTTTTTATTTTTACAAAATTATTGATTAAAATCCTTCGTTATAACGTCGTTGACTATTCATCATGTATAACAAATTAAAATTAACGATAATTAAGTAAACAACGACATATAGTAAATTTTTTTAATCCATATTTCTATATATCACTTCCTAATTGTCGTATTAAATGAATAATTAACAGTCTCACAACGAAAAATTTCAATTAATAAATTTATAAAAATAAAACTAAAAAATAATAAAGGATCTCGATTAAAAAAAATTAACATTACACGAGAACCAATTATGAAGTAAACTCATTTTTTTTTTTAACCAATTATGATTTTATCGAAATTTTGGCTGCAATTGTCTTCTTTTAAAAAACTATAAGGTTCATCGGGTTTTATAGATTAAAAGGCATCGTTTCTCCCTCCATGATCCCTTCCATTTTGGGTCATGGCATCCCCGAAGTTTGACAGTTTTTTCATTTCGGTTCGAAATGTAATTTTTTTAAAAAAATTACTTTAAAGTGAAAATACATTTTTGCCCCAAAAAAACATTATTAATTACTTATATAACCATTCTTTATTTGTTTTATTTTCAAATAAATTTTAGTATATTTTTTATCGGCATATCTATGCCTAAAATCATACTTCATTCCATGATATCCTCCATGCTATAGATTTCTGTGCACATAGTAGGGGAATTAATTTTCAAATTGCTACCCCATACTAACGTAATATGAACTAACTTGATCAGCAATTAGCATCTATTGGTTTGGGTTTTTTCAATTGTTTAAATCGAGTGGATTTATTATTATTGTTGTTGTTTTTGTTATTTGTGCGTGTTTCAAACTACATGATAAAAGACTATACTCCAAGCCTAATGGTTGGTTTAGACACTAAGAAAAAAGTTTATTCAACACAAGGATTATTATTCAAATTCCACCCATACTATTTAGAAAAATAATATATTTAAATTTAAATAGTTCTACTTATATAAGTTTTAGTTTTGATACAAACACAATATGTTAATATTAAAAATATGATATTATATGAATAAATTATTGATCCAATAATAAATGAATTGGCTTTCGAGTAAATTTTTTTGTTAATGTGTAAGATTTAAATCATAAAGTCACATTTGTAAAAAATAATTAAATTTTATATCTTATGTTTCAAATAGAATTAATCATGGGATAAGATAGATTATCAGTTTATTATATGTTTGTTTTTATGCATTTAAAAAAACAAATCACGTGCTCCATCAAATAAGTAGTCATCTCATTCTCTTGAGGCATCATGGTTTGATTTCAAATCACATGGAACAACACGCTTTGTTTAAAGATTAATTTACACTCACGACGATTATGCATTTAATTAGACGATTAGATGTCTTATATGCTCGATACAGCGCAAAGACTTTCTCATCGAGATAGATTGCTTGAATTTTTGGCATCAATTATTGATTCCAAATTACATCGCAGTAGGCTAGTAGCTTAACTTCATAGTTAGCTTTCTTATCTTGAAAATTTTCTTGAGAGAAGGCTTCTTATCTTCAAAACTTGGAAGGCATTACAAGTGATTATTACTTTAATCTCTCGTGATTTGCACCTATTGAGAATTGACGACTCCTGCAAGGGGTTACTTACTTTCAAGGACAATTTAACTTCAAGAAGACGCAATTGAGAGTTGCAATGGCTATCCAAGACATCGGAGTAACTAAATTTTGAAGAACTCATGCACATCTAGCAAGGGAATTGACCTTATTAAATTGCTTAATAAAATACATTATCTTTGCACATGAAATTTAAATTAATATTCCTAATCTCAGCTTGTGAAGGAAGGGATAGTGCTTTCCGTTTGGAAAAATAAAATTGCTTGAAACATGCATCAAATTTTAGTTTGTTATATCTTTGTTGACTTGTTTTGCAATTCCAACTACGCAACTAGAATAATATATAGTATTGGCTAATAGATTTAGAAACTTTCATATCGCCCTCCATTTAGTTGCAACTTTTATCCGTGACTTGTCCAAAAGGCAAGCGAATGGACCCCAAAGTTTCGTATGCTTGTAAGAGATTTTTCCGCTCCCGCTTCAGTTTTCTGTTTTTACAACTACCATATTGATTTTTAAATGATTTCATAGTCTTTTTCTTCTTCTTCTTTTTAACATTAAATTTAATCTAAGGCTATATTTCACTATCAAGTAACCTTTCCATTTGGACCTAAGACAGGCCATTCAACAATATAATTATATGTTCATAAGAAAGGTTTATCTCTCAATCTTCCAGAATTTAGAAATGAGTATATATAAAAGAAAATTGGTTAATATATTTCCACATACAAAGTTAAGGGATTATTGTGATTGTTTTTAACCTTAATGGGTCATCAATGCATTTTTTATTTTTCTTTTTCCTTTTTTGGTTCAAAGGAGAATCAAATTTCTGGAGTGGCTAGATAAATTTACAAAGTTAGAGAATTATGATTCTACAAATATCTTCTAATAAAAAGCTAATATAATCTAACGAAACCCAAAAATAAAAATCTCATAACGAAAAAAAATAGATACAGAAAATTAATCAATCTGCACTCTGATTAGATTTTCTATAATCATGATAAATCTAAACTTGTCAAGATCTTTACAAAAAATCTTAAATGGCATAAACCAAATGACTATAACGTACGTTAATTTTTTTTTTCTGCAGATTACTTTTTTTTAAAAAAAATATATATTATTGTTGTTGCTGGAATTAATGTAGGCTAATTGAAATTTCAATAGTACACAAATTTCTTACATATCACCAGAACAGCAACTGCTTGCACAGTTGCGCTTGAACTCATGGACAAAAGCTTATT